TGTGGTGATGAGCAGATGTACTCAGTGCCTCTTGTTATGAGTGGAAGAGCCAGAGATGGGCTGCTTTGCCACATGATCTCTCCATGGCTTCCTCCATGGTCTTCGGTAGGGTCTGTAACAGGATAGCGTGGTATTGGTAGATAGTATCAGCTTTCTGAAGGACATAGGCTTGCAGATACTTTCTGAGGGAAGGATATCAGTTAGACTTAGGTGTAACACACAGATGGAAACACACAGTCTTAATTTTGACAAATTGCCCATCCTGGCTGACAGGCTCTCTGTCAAGGGAGATGATAAGTGTTTGGGGCTTCATTGTTATATAGTGTCTGTCAGAGCTATCCAGCTATATTCAAGGCAGAAGTGCTGTGGGAGTAGGCTGTGTTCCAATAAAACTTTATTTGTAGGGACAGGCTGCAGGCCAGGTTTAGCTATGCTTTTTACTGATCTCTGCTTTGGAATATCATTCTCCTTAAGATGAAAGGGCTCCTACTTCTGGGTCTTGGTCCTAAAATTTTGTTTTCCTTTAGGAAATTGTGTTCAGCTTTCTCCTTCCCCCAGGAGCAATGGCTTAGACCACATGAGGTGTTTTTTCCTAGTTAGGCATAGTTTGGTTAATAGGTGCTGGGAACACAGACCAGGAAAGCCTGGCCAGACTCGTTTTAGCAAGGAAGACGTCTCTAAAGCATACATGCAACAGGTAAGTGTCATCTGGGAAGCAGGATCAGATACCATGGTATTATTTGTGGTGTCCTTTGAGGAGAGTTTTATAAAGAACTAATGAAGGAAACTAGCATTACATAATCCACTTAGACTTAGATTCTTTAAAAAAAAAAAGTACCTAAGATGGAGAGGAAAACAGGTTACTCTGGTGAGGAAGGAACAGGTGGTAGTCACACGGACAGGTGTTGAGGTCTGAATACAGCCACATAAGGGAACTGGGGGTTTTTGTGAAGCATTTGAGCTGCTTTCTCTTTCCATAAAACTTAACTGTGTGGCTCTACTTGACGGTAGCTTTCTTACTATCTGCATGTTCCCTGGTGCTGTGTTCTCCAACATGGCATGACATACTTACTGCAAGTAACATTTATTTACTTTTTTTTTTTTACAAAAAGCTGGTGATATGGGGTAGAAGTTTAAACTTTTGGCCCACGTTGGACACCCAGCACACCCTTCTGTCTCCCATGGTGCTCCCAGGAGCAGAGTGACTAGTCCCCAGTCAGCAGGGTGGACAGGTTTAGGCTAGAGCCAGCACATTTCCCAATTGAATGAAGTCCACCAATGAGCCAGGAGGCATTTGGTGCCCCAGGTGTTTGGGAAGGAAGAAAATACCATCTCTCCTATAATTTTGCCCCTGTTCCTGCAAGAAAGGAGGATGGGTCAGAGAACGAACCCAGACATGACCCTCCACGGAAGGACAGCTGTCCGTGGTGGGGACTGTGCAGGGTCTGCGGGGGAGATTGGGGTGTAGAGTGGAAGCTTGAAGCCAGTGATTCGTGGTCTGGGAACCAGGAGCACCAAGTCACTGGGTCTCACGCAGAGGGTTAAAGGGACAGATACCTTTTATTCATCCAGCCTATGAGGAAACTAGATTTTCTCATCCTGTCCCGGATTGTGTCATGAGCAAGTTGCAACTCGACATCGGGGAATGTCTAACAGCAGGTATGGGGAGGGCGGCGGCCTGCGGAGCTTGTAAAAGTGCCGTCCCATTTGTCACAGCTTGCTTACTCACCCGGGTTTTCCTTTTAAGTTGCTTTTCCCCCCCCAGTTTAAAAGAAAGTTTAATGACCGTTTTTCTTAGAATCTCTGGCTTACTTGTTATCACACCCAGCAGTGCTTATTTTCCCCTTCTCATGAGAGTTTTTCACCTTCAGTGAAGTAAGGAGATACTGAATTATCAGGCTTACTTTTCAAGGAATTTCTCCTGTGACTGAAGTCTTATGTCCCCTCCTAATTCTATGTTTAGTCTAAAAGGTCTAAATGGGGCACTGAGATGACCTGAAAAGTATTAAACTTACCCAAGAATCTATTTTTTTCTTAAGTGTATTTGTGACTAGAAACAATATATAACAATATAACTATATATATAACTACACACACACACACACCCACACACACACACACACGCCTAACAAGTATTTGGTTTTGTCTTTGCTATGAAAAGCAGAATCTTTCTGCACTATGAACTCAGAGATGCCCTAGTGTGTGGACACCACACTACTCTCTGAATTCAGGGGTTGCTTTGCCCTCCTCCAGCTCTGCCCAACCTGGGACAGTGGTGGTGGGGAGGTTGGGGCGGGGACAAGCAGGGCTCTTCAGAGAGAACCCGGTGAGTAGAATTGCTGTGATCCAGGCATGTGGACTGGGTTGTGAACACTGGACTATAACCCTGAATTCAAATGTGTACAAACACAAATTGAGAAAACCATAATGAAAATATAGGTGTGAGTCAGAATGACTGGCCACAGTGACGCCTGACCTCATTGGCTAGAACAGACATGCTGTGTGTATTGCTGGCACAATCTGGTCTTGGTATTTGCTTGGGTTTCCCCAGTGTAATTGTGGTTGTGGCACTCTGCTCTCTGGTGCTGTGACATCTCGGTATTCTGACACTTCCTCCACGTATTGCATGTAGCCTTTCTGCCTGTTTAATAACAGTGCCTCGGTTTTTTCTTTTTCCTTTCCTTCCTCTCCTGCTCCCTCCTCTCTTTTAGGGAGCAGGGCCAGTGGGTTGAAGCCTTGAAGCCATGGTAGGGGCATTCTTGCTCATTTGCATTTGCTAGCTGTGTTCAGCGGATGAGAAAGGGTGGGATTAGAACTGGTTTGTAGGGATTACGTTTATTGCCCATGGGACCTGCAACCTACAGCAGAACGACTTCCTTGGCTATGCTGCTCCGAAGGCTCGTCCCAGAGCTTCCCAGAGCAGTGTCTGAGGTGAAGGTTGCTCTGGGGTGTGTTTGTAATCCCAGTCCCAGTCATACCAGCTCTGGGAGCAGACTTGTGTGTGTGTGTGTGTGTGTGTGTGTGTGCTTGTGTGTGTGTGCGTGTGTGTGTGTGTGTGTGCTTGTGTGTGTGCGTGTGTTTGTGTGTGTGTGTGTGTGTGTCTTCCATTGTCTGAGCAACACTGGGAGTCTCCCAGGTTTCCAGTATGTTCTGTTTCGCACCTGAGTTCCAAGTCTGCCTTCCTTCCTAAGCACATGCAAGCAATGGCTGTAAATTACTTGTCTGCTGCTTTTGTGGAGTGAACAGAGGTAATGGATAAATAAATACCTGCTACAATCTCAGCCTCAGGAAGCATGAATATTTAAGGCTGAGGATGTCGGGGCAGTTGTGTTAGAAAACACTCTCTTGTTTCTTGTGCTGCATGAACCAGGCCCATAACTTAGCTTAGGAATAAATAATGAGCATGAGGCCCAGCCCCTTGGATCTGTAGCCCGGTTATCCAGCCCCGCCTCTCCTGGCTAGAGCAGGGGAGTGGATGTGGCGGGGTGGCCAGCATGCCTGGCTGTGGCCGAGTCCACCTCTGGAGTTGGGTATCTGGATGTCACTTCGTGGCATCCTGGGCCAGGTGCCTTCATAGCTTGGGCTCATTTAGTGCCTTGGCCGGCATGTAGAGCACAGTCTTCGCCACTAACTCACAGTGGGGAAAGGCAGTTTGAATATCAGTCAGAGCAGCCAACTTCTGTCTCAGGGTCTTCTTTCTATGAGAAAGTAACAGAAAAGTACCTGTGTTTCCCAGGGCTCCGTGGCGTCCAGATCCTTCTGCTGTGGCTCAGAAAGCTGCCTCTGGTTTCTCTGTGTTTGCTCCTGGGGTTGCGTCTGTAGGGTCAGTCTGGGTACAACCGTGGGGATTTGGCAGGTGCTGTGGACTGTCTGTAAGTCAGTATGGATGCCTTGAGAGGCCCTGGGAGGGAACCGGGGCAGACTGGCCTCTCTGCTAGTGCAGAATGCTGGGGAATAGCAAACGTGGACTCAAGTCCCTTAGGCCAGGAGACTCAGGTCTCTCTGCTCTCCCCTCGTCGCAGGGGGCCCGTGGGAAGCAGGAGTGCTGTACCTGTGTGTATACGAGAATGTGTGCAAAACATCATATCCCAGGCTCGCACACGTGTCAGCTGGGGACCGTGCTGGGGGTGGTGTCCTGCTTCTTTCTCCGGTGCTGGAGGCACATCTGTCTCCCTGCCAGGACACGTGCTTTAGTCAGTGTCTTCTTCCCTCTAAATCTAGAGGAGACCCTGCACCAGGATCAAAGCCAAAAGGAAAGTTGTTGAAGGGCCTTTGTATGAACAAATACATGGGTGAATTGTGTCCTTGCCGCTTATTGGATCTTAGCCAGTACCATTTAAAACTTAAAGTTTTGGAATGGGCACAGTGTCTTCCACCTGTGATCTGAGCTATTCAGGAAGATTGTGGGTCAAAGCCAGATCCCATCTCAACCTGTAGCTGGTCTCTGGTATACACCTGTCATCCCAGCTCTTGAACACTGAGATCTGGAGACTCATGGTTCCAGTCAATCCTTGGCACAAAAATTTTGGAGATTACATCTCAAAAGAAATATGCTAATCATGGGAAGTAGAAATAGGAGGATCACTGTCCCAGGCTTTCTATCCTGGGAAAAAAGACCCTTTTTCAAAAATGACAAGAGCAGAAAGGGCTTGAGACATGGAATCGGAGTCCGAACTCATAATGGACAGAAAAGGAACTAGATCCACAAAGAAAGTGACATGCATCTGTGAGTTGAGGGCCAGGTTGGTGTGTCTAACATGGAAGATAGGTGAATACATCTACCAGGAAGGAAAATTTACCTGTTTAAGGTAGAGCATGGCCACAGGGCTCATCTGAGACCTGGCTGTCATCACAGTGAATGATAATGTTCTCCTGTTTCTTGAGGAGGGACAAAGTACCTCCTTCTGGGGAGGGACCCATATCTTGCGGGTTCTCGCACAGAGCTGTGGAGTTTGCTCTGTTCTGGGAGCCATGACTGAGGTCTCTGCTCTCTCTTTCAGAGTGAAGCCCTGGTGGACCTCCACTGCACCGCAAGGTCGCACGTTGAGAAAATTGTGCTCCGAGGAGATGCTCAGCACGCCTCCAACCCAAAGCTGCTTTCATGTTTCGTTCCCATCTGAGTAACTCTACATACATTTTGAGACATCTGTGAACTGTGTTAGACAAGAAGCCGACACCACGATCGCCTGCTGCCTCCCTTGCTGCCCCCTCCGTGGGGCATCCATGACTGTGCTGTGTGTGTTGCATTTCGTTTTGTTTCATAACTAAATTAGCAGATAAAGTTCTTCTCCAGCAAATTGGATATTTCCATTGGCCTTAAATTGTGGCCAGAGTCTTAACTTCCTCTTCCTTTCGTGTTTTACAAAGCAGGGTGTACCCCTCAGCATGCTGGGAGATTCTCCCACACCCACTGGAGTGGTAAAATCTGGTATTGACTGGCTTACACTCAAAACTACCACAGTCCTACCTCAGTTCAAGGTAAAGCTGGGTTGCGGGCTGATCACAGCGGGACCTTCTGCGAATCCATGTCCAGTGCAGCCCCCGCCTCCGGTGCCCGAGAAGACGCGGAGTCCAGCCAGGACCTGCCAGGATCGACTGTGTTCATATGCACACAGAGCCCGGTGTGGGACTGATGATTCTCCACCGAGTGAAATCTGGGACTGGACTTTGAAGATGGATTCTAAGAATAATTATTAAATATAACTGAAGCAACCTACTTTTGAAGCTCATCAATCAGCTGGGTGGGGGCGGGTGGGGGCTAGAGGGCATGACTTACCTCTTTGTATCTTTGACTGGTGTATCTAACCTTCTCTGTGTAGATGTTTGTGTAGGTACTTCAAATCGCAAAAGCCTTTTCTCCTATCCACAAGCTCAGATGTCTCTGCTGTCCTGAATCTGGGCCTGCATTTCTCTAACCAAAAACTCACGTAGGCATGCTATTAGCTCAGAGCTGGTCTAGGTTTGGCAGATTTAACTTTTTAAATGCATTACCTTTAATATAATGCTATTTTGTTGATCAGTAAGGCTGCCCCAAACAGAGAGAGAGAAAGAGAGAGAGAGAGAGAGAGGGGAGTCATTCCAGCCATTGTGCAATTAGAGAAATGAGAAGAGAAGCGGTGCCGTCTCTCACAGTCTGTGTTGCTTGATGAGGCTGAGGCTACCCTTGTTCTGTGTTTTCAGTGTTTCGAGAATGTTGGCGTTGTGGCGATTGTCACAGATGTCACCTAGGACTGCTGAGCTTCCCCACAGAGTGTCTGTCAGCCTGCCACCCTGACACGTGGCAGGAGGCACCGCCCACCCCAGTGCCTGTCTCCCCGATCGTCCTGTAGAGGCTGCACTAATGCTTGGAGATTGAGTTGTTGGTTTTTTGTTTTTGTTTTTGTTTTTTTTTATTGGTTTTGTTGTTGTTGGAGAAAATATATATAAATATATAGAGATATATCACTATAGAATAATGCATTAATTAAATGAGGCTTTTTAGAGGAAGACCAAAAAATTCAATGTCTTAAAAAAATATATGTAATGGCAGTGCAAAAGTCTTCCTGCTTCTGTGTGAACCTTAGAACAGAGGATTGTATTGCAAGACAAAGTTGAATGTAAAGTGATCCCCGAGCATTAAGGTTTTACTTTGCTGAGATGACACATCATAGCAGTGCGTAGGCCATACACACCATGTCAGTTTGAAGGTCAGTTTCAGTGTACACTGTACTTTATTAAAATGTACAAAATCTCCAGTTTTATTTCGTTGTGGGACACTAGGAATCGGCGGATGGTACTTGCTCAGGGGCAGAGGACTGAACACAGGCCTTCCTGGTTGCAGTGCTAGATGTGTAGGTTTTGACTCAATCCAGATGGCTCATGTCCCTACTGCACCTGAAAATGCCGATGCTGTACTAAATTCTCCTCTATCCTGTACATTTCAAAAAACAAAAGGCATATGCAATATTTACATTTTTAATTTAGTTTACAGAAATGAACCAAAATGTATAAATGTTATGTTTGCTAAAACTTCACACTGTATATTGGGTCTTTGTACATTTTGCCTGACTTACCTTAAATTTAAAATATTTTTTGCTATATAAACTTTAACAGTTAGTAAACAGTGTTTTCTTTTGGGTACGTATTGTTTCTGGATACGAAGATGTTAAATATATTTCTTGCTATCGTGTTAGGAAGAGACTTGACTTCCCTCACCCTGTCTTCCATGAGCGCTGTACATAGGGCAGGTGTGGCGCTGCAGGAGACGAGGATAAACTGGACTAGGGTAGTGCGTTGTATTTTAGTCTGTACTGACCGTGGGTACCCTCCTTAATAGCCATATGCAATAAAATAAAATACATTATTTATGAAACAATGAAGCTTGGACCTTTGGTGTCTCTTCTGCATGGGTCCAATTTACCTTTGAAATACCAAGTTAACACAGACCCGGTCTACTCCTGAATTCCCAGTTGAACAGTGTGGAGTATCAAAAAAAAGTTTAGATTCCTAAAAAAAAATACTTTGATACCTCTTAAAACCTATACTGGAAACAGAAAATGTTCCTTTAATTATGAGATTTAATGAAAAATAGATGTGTTTAAAAAACAACCTTCCAACTCATGAGAGTCCTTCTAAGGGCTCATTCTCCATGCAAGTATGAATTCCTTCGTGGCCGCTAACAATGTCAGGTGGTAAGAATCGCCCTCTCTGGCTCGAGTGTGAAGGAGCAGAGGGGATGTGGCGGCTCTGAGGCACGCAGGCCGGGAATGGCAGTGCAGCCTGGAGTCCACTGCCTTCTGTGATGGGTTGTCAGTGTGTGTCGGGGGCTTTGTCTTTGTGGCTGTGGGTCTGTGCTGTGAGACAGCCCCCCTGAGCCCAGACAAAGCCTTGACTCTGACAGAACCTTCTGAGTGCTGGTCCCTCTTCAGCCTCCCAGAGTCAAGGAAGCGACTTGTTTGGTGTAAACTCACAACTAGAATGGGTGGGCTTTGTGGGAAGTTCTCTCCAAAGACATGAGAGAGGACAGGCCAGCTGCCCCTCTGCTGTGAAGGTGGCTGCCGTTGGGTGGAAATAGGGGGGATGTGGTTCACCCCTATGTCTGAGAGACTTCCCCCAGAACAACTCCTTTTCTACTGTTCAGCTGCTCTGCAGTGTTCCCTGTGCTTTTCTCGCTCCTTGTGATAATATTGTGGCACTGAGGAGAGTGGAAAGATCCCGAGGCCCTGCACCCCTTGGACTTGCTTTCAAGGAGAAGCAGATAGCAGAGGAAGGCTAACAAATGGCAGGGAATATGAAGAAGGTGTAACAGCTACTTTCCCATCGCTGGCAAAACACGTGACAGAGCAACTTAAAGGAGGAAAGGTTTGTGTTTGCTCATGATTTCCTTGGCCCTGGGAGCTGGTGAAGCACATCATGGTGGCGGGAGGGTGTGGAAGAGAGGAGCTTCTTTACCTCAGGGTGGACAGGAAGCAGTGACCTAACTTCCTCCGGCAAAGTCCTGCCTCCAGATGGTTCCAGACCATCTCCAAAGAATGCTGCCAGTTGGAGGCTAAGCACTGGTACAGGAAACTTGCTGAGGACACTTCAGATCCATACCGTACTGGTTACGGCAAGTTGGGGAGTGGGGGAGAACAGTGAGAGTGCCCCCTTTATGTAGGTTGATTAGGGAAAGACCTCCCAGGAAAAGGATGCTTGAGAGGTGAAAGCCAGGAAGAAATGGAGTTCCACTGTTAACAGAAGACATGACTGAAGGGCTGTAGATCCAGAGGACAAGGGCAGAGGTGTGCATGGCACGGTGGAGAAACAGTAAGGAGGTAGCCATCTCTATTCTACTCCGAGCTGTCATGTAGAGTTTCCTTTTAGGTGAGAGCCAGTTACACAATCATCTGTTGAGGTCTTGCCATTTTAGAGTGTGGTCATTAGGAGCTCTCTCCAATTCCTAATATATAGCGAGCTGGGAGAGATGGAAAGAGATGGAGCAACAGCAAAATCTCTCTGTGGCTTTGTGAGTTTTTTGTTTGTTTGTTTTTCTGGTGTGGGTCTATCCGGAGGCCTAGCACAGGAGGGCTAAGGGGCAGCGTCCCTCCCAGCGGAGGGCATGTTCCAAGTCACTGCGGGTGGAGAGCCAGACCCTGGTGAAGGGCTGCTGGTGGGCTGTGATGGTGGGGGTGGGGTTGGCGTGTTTCTCAGTGCTGCTTTTCCCACAAAGCACTTGGTTTCCTTGGAGACTCGGCTGCTGCAGAGAATACAGGAAGCAGGACAATCGGGCCTCTTTCTGCCCACATCTGAGGACAGGACAAGTAGCCTTGTTGGTGGGCTGTCCCCAGGCACATGTCCCTGTGGCCACACCCTGTGTGGCCATGCGGGTCTCTGCTTTGGGGTGATGAGTGAGCTAGTTATCTCGGACCCAGGTGGAAACACATTGGCCAGCTTACTCCCGCTACAAGTATTTTCCACAGTACCAGGCTGGGGGAGTTCTTTTTGACCTACTGATGCAGATGTTGCTATTTGTTGCATTTTAATCTCGATCATCATCGTCTGTCCCACATCTCCACAGAGGTCTGTGCTGTGAATAGAAAGGGAAAAGCCAGAGACCAGTCCCTGACCTCGTGTGTCCCCCAATGAGCACTGGCTGATCCTGTACCACCACCATCACCAGAGATAAGGTTAAATGAAAATCCTGTCTCTCCAGCTGTATTACTCAAATGAATCAGAGGGTAAAGTCCCTCGTGCCTGTGGTGACTTTGAAGGCTGGGATCTACCCCTAACTCTACAGCAAGCAAGGCGAGTCGCCTTCTGGACCGGGTGCCTAGAGGAGAGGTGCTGAGTGTGTACTCAAGGTCGGTCAGCCTAGCTTGCTCGTTACAGGCAGGAGGTGAGGCCTCTACCATGAACCTTGCTTACCACCACTCTGCAAACCTGTGGCCTTAACTTCAGTGGGCACTCCTTAGCTGTGGGGCAGAGATGGCAGGACACATTGCCAGCAGGACACTGCTGGATCCCCTCCATTGTCCCCTCTAGATGGGCACCCTCGCTGGCTGGGCCATCCCCCCTGGCTGCTCCTCCCTGGTCTCCTGGAGGGGTAGGGTAGTGCATGGAGGCTGGAGGCTGGCTGAGAGAGGCCGAGTAGCAGGGCCTTGAGGGCGTCCTGCTGGAGAGGGTTGTGTGTGCCTGCTGGCTGGCCAGCTGCCAGTGTTGTTTACTCCTCTCAGCAGACACTCATACTTCCTCCCCAAGTCCATTTTCTAAAGATGGCACTTGGCTCCCAGTCCTCTCCTACCTCCATCTGTGCTGCCTGGAGCCTTGGTGTCCATCAAATGGTCAGGCCAGCCCCTTGCTGGGCAGCAAGTCCAGTGCAGGGCATTCTAGAACCTTCTCTAATGCTTAGTACTTTCCTGGGAGGAGTTGAGATGCCTTCCCTTTTCTGGGCTCTGCAGGAAGGGCAGGGCAGGCAGTCACTGGCCGAGCTGATGAAGGGAGGACACCTTGGGGACTTTAGCAGGCTCCAATCCTTTTTGCATGAAGGCAACCCCCTAGAAGCCACTAAGTACTAACATGTCAGCCTAATTGAACATCCCTCCTGGCATGTCCCTGGAGGCTAACTGAGCTCCACAGGAAGCATTTACACCAAGCTCCGCTTCTCCCTGCCTCCATTCACACTTTCCTGCTGGCAGCCAAGCTGCTTCCCCGGCCAGCCACACCCACAGCACAGAGCATGCCGTCATTGGCAGGTACCTGGCTTCCCTGCTCCTCACGACCTGCGGGCGTCAGGGTGTGGCTGAGCAGGAGCTCAGGAGTAAATACCCACACCTATGGCCAGAGAGACGCGGAGCCCAGCCCAGGTCACACAACCTGGAACTGCTGGCGACTTAGACCGGATGTGGGGTCACAGCATCTTGCAAAGGCTACCAACGCTTCTCACTGAATGGGCCTGCTCCTGCAGCAAACACCTGCAGTTCCAGGTTCGGTCAAGGGGCATCATACACTGGTAGGTGGGGGAAGGAAGATACTTAATTACATCTCCTTTCTATTCAAGGCCAGGTAGACTGGTGAGAGTGTTATTGACGAACCGCATCAAGTAAATGTAATATGCGTTCAACGAATTCCTGTGTTGTTCTCTGGTTTTTATTTGTCAAATGCTGTCTGTGGACATTGAAATAACATAACAGAACTCTCTGCTTCAAAGTCAAAACCAGTGGACAGCAAAGACCAGATCTTGTTCCTCTTGCCTGGAAATAAGCCCAGGGGCCATGGGTCCTAGGCACTTGGCACCAGGCAGACAGCTGCGCTGTTGGCTTTGTGGGCTCCAGTAGGCAAGGAAGCAGGGACCAGCCAGGAGGGAGCTGAGTGGTGAAGTGATGGATGGCTAGAACCTGCCGCCTGGCTCACCTGGAGATTGCTCAGTGTCTCTGGTCCTCTGAACTTAGAGTCACAGATGCATCTGCATTCTCATGAATTTGACCTCTGGAATTCATGCTTTCTGCCATTCTATAGCATGCAAGGCCAGCACAGGGGAGGACAGACTTTAGGACATTATCTGTGGTGGAGTTTCTGGTGGCACCCAGTGGATTGACAGCAAGGAGGTCTGGCACCTCAAATTCTCATTAGTGAGTCTCCTCGTCTGTCCATCATTGGTGCCCTTCGAGGTGCACAGATAGATAGATGTTAGGGAAGAAAATGAGGAGTCAGTATGTTTACTTTCAACAAACAGTGAAATGTACGCCTAATGGTTATCTTTGTCCACCTGTACATGCCCTGGTGATAAACATTTTAGCATAGTCTCTCCTTTGGTTTGTAAAGTGAGATTGCTTTCATTATAGATTCCCACTTGTCCTTACGTTTTGCATTTTCTAGTTTAGATCACTTTGCACTTTGTTTTATAGGGCACAAAGAGTTTTCTATCATCTTCCAACAAAAACGTTTGTTTAACGTAATTCTAGGGAACTCATGGGTAAGTTCCAAATGAGAACTCAACACTGAAAAGTGTACAGTGGTGGCCAATGTCCTGCAGGTACAGAAGTGATAGATGACCTTTGTTATCTGAGGTCCTAGCTTTTTGTCAACTATACATACCTAATCCTGGGGTGTCTTTTACCCACAGCAGCACTGCACATCTTTCATTTCTGACAGTGATATGCTAGGTTTATGGTTGGGACAGAGTCCGGGGTCAGCCGGGCTCCACGTATCCAGCCGCCAGACCTGTCAAGGTCTTCTTAAGCCACAATTTCCCCGAAATATGAAATGAGTCAACATATACATGCTAAGGAAACTAAAGCTTCTCCAAATACTGCTGAAAAAAAAAGAAAAGAAAAGGGTGGGGGGCCCGCGGGGGGGGGGGGGAGGGGGAGAAAGAACTAGTAGGAAACTAAGATTA